ATTGTGGGGGCGATATGCTGACTCTGTAAACCGCTTAGAGAGGGCTGAAAGCCCTATGAAGCGGTATATAAGTCTAAGTGCTATTGCTATTGCTATAATAAATGAGATTACCCCTCCCTGCCCCAAAACATGCCAAATTACATTGATTCCTTTGGTGACTATCAATCAATCAAACAAACAAACATAGAAAAATCCATTTTGATACAAGCGGTGTTGTGAATAACAAAGACTTTACTTCTATAATACTTTATAAAGTATGTGCATGCAAATGGGTTGCGTTATTATTCAAACAGAAAACTTCCATATTTTGTTGATTACTCTAGGAACAGGGGGCAATTACCCCTCTAGATGTTGTTGGGATATTAGGCTTAGGAGCTTAGGAACTACAGGCTGTCCTTAACATACAACCACAATTGATTCCAAAATTTCCATTCTTAAGTAGGGCAGTTGTTAAGTGAATTTTGACCCATTTTACAACCTTTCTTGACACAGAATCACTGCAGTTGTTACGCGAGTAACATGACTGTTAAGTGAATCTGGCTTCCCAATTGATTTTGCCTCTCAGAAGGTCAAAAAAGGTGGATTACATGACCCCGGGACACTTCAATTGAAAAAAAAATACAGGCCACTTGATAGGCAGCTGAATTTTGATCACGTGATCATGGGGATGCTGCAATGGTCACAAGTGTGAAAGACAGTCATAAATCACTTTTTTCCCAGTGCCGTTGTAACTTAGAACATCACTAAATAAATTGATAACTCCCTGCATAATTAAGCAATATCTGGACAGTCACATGTTTTTCAGCCTTTGACTATTCTAATCACAACTCTGTATTGACTATCATTCTCAGCTAACATCTCTGGCTATCTGTAAGGGGTTTAACTGGTTATTAGTCTCTGCACAGCTTCTGCTTGTTTTAACAGACAATGACGTGTCTCAATAAATTGATTAAGGCATAAAGGAAGACATTTTAAATTGGATTTAAGATTAAATTGCTTAAATTCTAATCCATATTCAAAACCAGACAGCCTTCAGATGTTTTGGATTCCAGCTCCATGTGTCCCATCTGGTCTATTAATGTTTATGGATGATGGATGCTAAAATCCAAAGCTCTGAAGGATGACAGATTGAAGAAAGCTGGCTCATTTCTCATCTTGAGAAGAACGATTTAGCAAGGTGAAGATTTTGAAACACAGTGGTATCTCAGTACTCATCTTCAATTGGTTCCAGAAGGCATAACGAGAACCGAATATGATGAGCACCAAACAATTTTTTCCCATAAGGAATAAAGTAGTGAGTCACAGCCGACACCAACAAGTTCTAACTTGTGCATTGAATACAGGGACAAAATTATCGTGTTAAAATGCATTGATGAGTTTGATATTTGATGAGTTGCAAGGTACCATTATACAGGGCTTAAGTTTGCCTAGTGAAGGAAAATATCACACGACTGAAAATATATGAGGGACTCCACAAAATTACCCAATCTCCCCCCCCCCCATGTTTTATTAGTTGTTATTTGTTTATATCCATGAAGTGGTATAAGAAAATTTAGATAAAACTGAAATGATCTGACAATTCATTTACCATTTCATTTCAACAGCTTTCCCACAAAGTGGAAAAAATATTCTTAATTCCTTCCTGCCATTGACAAAAGTATCCAGGTATTTCTTCAGGAACCTGGAACAAAAAAAGAGAAAATAAAATGTTATTTTTTAAAAAGAACATATAATAATTGATCTTCACACTCAAGATTCTTATACAGCCTTAATAATTTGTAAAATGCTGAGTTTTCTTCAGCACAACCTGATGAACGATATTAAGAAAAGCTAAGGACCTTTGCTGAAAACAGTCAACCAAGGAAAGTTCTTGAACCACAACAAAGGTGGAGGTTGAATATAGAAAAGACACAATTGCAAAGCAATTTGTTAACTGGAAGAACAAGCAAATATATGGCCAATACTTGAAGGATATAGAAAGAAACAATGATTTAAAAACCCACATGGAGTTGGTTAAGATAAAGAGTCTTAAAGAAAGAAACTGAAGGCTTTATTTTATCAGCTCAAGAACAAGCTTTGCCAACTAATTGGCGTGAAGGGAAAAATTCAATATGTAACAAACAACAGCACATGTCACTTTTGTAGCAAAAAGGATAAACGAATTGACCATTTGATTGGTGGGCTGAAGCCAAATTTACAGACCATAAACAGCATCCTGATTGAGTTGCCAGAATTATTCATTGGAAACTTTTGGATTGGAATATGTTAAAATTATTGGGACAATCAAGTTCAGAAGGTTTGGAAAATGAGCAGGTTAAGATCTTATGGGATTTTAAGATCCAAACAAACAGGCAACTTGTTCATAATAGGCTTGATATAACAGTGTTGAAAAGAAGAAAGTCTGGTTCACTGATGTTGCTATTCCGGGTGACACTAGGATTGAGGAAAAACAACTGGAAAAAATTACAAAATTTAATTTTGAACTTGCAGATCAAAGCTGAATGCTTAGGGAAAAAGAAATCCTTTGTTATACCAATTGTGATGGAACCCTTGGAACAATACCTAAAGATTTCCTTGATACCTGGAAATATTATTTATTTCAAGACCTGAACACATAATTTTACACACACACAAAAACCTGCTATCCTGCTTGGAACTGTCTATATTCTTAGATGCTGTCTTAAGAATTATTAGGCCTTTACTTAGGATTTGAATTATTTCCACCAAACTTACCATATTTTTCAGAGTATAAGATGCACCTTTTTTCCTCAAAAAAGAGGCTGAAAATCTGGGTGTGTCTTATACACCAAATACAGCATTTTTTGCCTCCTGAAGCCCCATCTCTTCACCAAAATGGTCGTGCATACCCTTATGGAGGCTTTCAGAGCTCCTGGGGCTTGGGAGGGCAGAAATGAGGAAAAAATGGGCCGTCTTTTGCCCCCCCCTTGCTCCCAGCAGCACTCTAAGCGCCTCCATAAGGCTATGCATGCAATTTTTTTTGGCAAAAAACGGGCTGTTTTTTGCTCGTTTTTGGCCCCCGAGCCCCCCAGGAGCACTCCGCAAGCCCACCCAAGGCTATTCATACATTTTTTTTTGAAAAAAAGGGCCCATTTTTGGGAGGTTTGCAGAGTGGAAAAACTTTTTTTTCCTTTTGGAAAGCTCTTTAACTCAGTGGTAGTCAACCTTTTTCTACTTACCGCCCAC